TCTCCCTTTCTCCCTTTCTCTCTGTCTATCTGTCTGTCTGTCTGTCTGTCTGTCCCTCTCTCTTTCCACCCCTTCTCTCTGTCTCTCTCCTCACAGCACTAAATGACTCTTAAAGTGTCAATAAAATTCTCTTTCCTCAAAACCCAAAACTCACAAATTGACTGGCATCTGTAGAGCAATAGCTTGACTCTTCCTTGTTCCGCGCGGAAGCCCAAGTTCCATTCTCGTATGAGGAGAATTTATATGGAATATCTTGGTCTTTCTCCTGGGATGCTGTATCCATCTATTCCCTGATTATCCTTTAATGATCTAAACTGTTATGAGAGGGATGTAATCCTCACTCCCCACCCACAAGAAAAAATCTTACTTAGTAAGAGTTTTACGGCGCTCGCAACTGCATAAGGTCATATGAGCCAGAAAAAAAATCGACATAAAAATAAAGATGACGTCGCTCTTTTGACCGAAACTGCCGAACAAGATTTACAAATCTTTTTGTTGGGCCACCAATTTCTTAAAAAGAAATTGTTCGACTTTTAAAAAAAATCAAAGGCAATTGGGGAAGGGGGGGGTGGAAAGATAAAGAGGGAGAGAGAGGGTGGAAGGGGAGGAGGAGGAGAGAATGTCATAATACAATATGAATAATTTAGGATTTTAAAAAAAAGTTACACTACTTTTGCTCTTAGTAGTTTTAGTAAGAGTTTTACATCACTTACATCACAATTAGGTCACAGAAGTGCAGAAGATTAGAGATGTTACTATACAAAGTAACATACAAAGAAAAGAAAGTGGAGAAACAACGTGTTTCATGGGAAAGAAAGAGCAAACCACACCAGGGCACCCGCCAAACCCCCACTGCTACTACCACAACTACTACAACTACTACTACAACTACTACTACAACAACTACTACAACAACTACTACTACTACTACTATTACTACTACTACTACTACTACTACTACTACTACAACAACTACTACTACTACTACTACTACTACTACTACTACTACTACTACTACTACTACTACTACTACTACTACCACTAGCGCCACAACAACAACCACTACCACTACCACTACTACAACTACTACTACCACTAGTACTACTACTACCACTACCACAACTATATTTTGTACTACTACTACCACTACTACAGCTATCACTCCCAATACCACTACAACAGCTACAACTACAACCACCACTACTATCACCACAACAACAACCACAACAACAACACACGTTAATGTGTCCATTGCGCAGCGAGGAGCCCCAAGATTTGGAGCACTGGCTGCAGAGATGCCCAGCCACGTAGGTCCGGCGGTGGCATCTCTTTGGGGAGGATTCATGGAGGTTGGACTGCCTCACCCGCTACCCAAGGGAGGCGGTGGCCCTGGCGAAGAGCACGCTCTTCGGGGCTCTAAACATTTCGAAGGGATA